TTTTCCCCGAAATTCATTTTTGTTTAATTTATAAAAAATCTGCGCATGTTTACGGAGGCGATAAATTTTATAAAAATATAATCTCAAACCCCTCCCCCTCACCCCCCTAAATTTTCATCCCTCCGGATATATGCGGGTGTCTTCAACCCCCCGGAGAAACCGCATACTCATGTATTTTCCCCGAAATTCATTTTTTTTTAATTTATAAAAAATCTGCGCATGTTTCCGGGGGCGATAAATTTTATAAAAATATAATCTCAAACCCCTCCCCCTCACCCCCCTAAATTTTCATCCCTCCGGATATATGCGGGTGTCTTCAACCCCCCGGAGAAACCGCATACTCATGTATTTTCCCCGAAATTCATTTTTTTTTAATTTATAAAAAATCTGCGCATGTTTCCGGGGGCGATAAATTTTATAAAAATATAATCTCAAACCCCTCCCCCTCACCCCCCTAAATTTTCATCCCTCCGGATATATGCGGGTGTCTTCAACCCCCCGGAGAAACCGCATACTCATGTATTTTCCCCGAAATTCATTTTTTTTTAATTTATAAAAAATCTGCGCATGTTTCCGGGGGCGATAAATTTTATAAAAATATAATCTCAAACCCCTCCCCCTCACCCCCCTAAATTTTCATCCCTCCGGATATATGCGGGTGTCTTCAACCCCCCGGAGAAACCGCATACTCATGTATTTTCCCCGAAATTCATTTTTTTTTAATTTATAAAAAATCTGCGCATGTTTCCGGGGGCGATAAATTTTATAAAAATATAATCTCAAACCCCTCCCCCTCACCCCCCTAAATTTTCATCCCTCCGGATATATGCGGGTGTCTTCAACCCCCCGGAGAAACCGCATACTCATGTATTTTCCCCGAAATTCATTTTTTTTTAATTTATAAAAAATCTGCGCATGTTTCCGGGGGCGATAAATTTTATAAAAATATAATCTCAAACCCCTCCCCCTCACCCCCCTAAATTTTCATCCCTCCGGATATATGCGGGTGTCTTCAACCCCCCGGAGAAACCGCATACTCATGTATTTTCCCCGAAATTCATTTTTTTTTAATTTATAAAAAATCTGCGCATGTTTCCGGGGGCGATAAATTTTATAAAAATATAATCTCAAACCCCTCCCCCTCACCCCCCTAAATTTTCATCCCTCCGGATATATGCGGGTGTCTTCAACCCCCCGGAGAAACCGCATACTCATGTATTTTCCCCGAAATTCATTTTTTTTTAATTTATAAAAAATCTGCGCATGTTTCCGGGGGCGATAAATTTTATAAAAATATAATCTCAAACCCCTCCCCCTCACCCCCCTAAATTTTCATCCCTCCGGATATATGCGGGTGTCTTCAACCCCCCGGAGAAACCGCATACTCATGTATTTTCCCCGAAATTCATTTTTTTTTAATTTATAAAAAATCTGCGCATGTTTCCGGGGGCGATAAATTTTATAGAAATATAATCTCAAACCCCTCCCCCTCACCCCCCTAAATTTTCATCCCTCCGGATATATGCGGGTGTTTTCAACCCCCCGGAGAAACCGCATAATCATGTATTTTCCCCGAAATTAATGTTTTTTAATTTATAAAAAATCAGCGCATGTTTCCGGAGAGGTAAAATTCATAAAAATGTAATCTCAGACCCCTCCCCCTCACCTCCCTTCAATTTTCATTCCTCTGGATATATTGCGTCTATTTTTCACAGATAACAAAACCGAGCGTGTGAATAAATTAATTTACTTATTGAATTAATTAATTTTTTAATTCGAAAATCAATGCATAAGCAGATAGTTGTTTAGAACATTATTTTCAATTGTTTTTTCAACATAATTTAAAATATATATAATGTTCATATAAATTCTGCCCCACCCCCCATCAACGGGTGAAAATCTCAACCCTCCGTATACATACCCTTCCCCCCACTTCTCACAAAGTTCAAAATTTTTAGATTCCATTATTTTATTTATCTAATTATTTGATGCCCCTCTTCGCCCCTATTTGACCCGCAGCATTCTCCTCCTACATATCTATTTGCGATAACATTGTTCACGTAGGGCAATTGGGTCAGTACAGAATTAAACTAATTAAAAAAAATGCCAATATGAACCTATTGGATAATCAATTTTCTCCCGCCACTGCTGCCGACTTTATCGGCCTGGGCGAGAAGTCGACACTGCCGCCATCCGGCGGCGTTCCCCCTACTGATTTATTTTCCCTTTCAATACGCAAACTATTATTTTCCTTAATTAATGGAAATTAATGTCATTAAAGCTACTAAAATTCATTAATAATTCATAGATTTACATCCATAATCGTTCCAGGTATCATTTACCCTTTTTTACACCAAAACAAGTAGCCACCTAATTAGGTGGCTGTTAGGTGGCTATTTGCTCCCTAGGGCATGTGTAGGAGTAAAATTTTAAAAAACTAATTCGTAATTGTTACTGTACACATTTTTTCAAAAATTTTGAAAAAAAAATCTCTCTAGCTCAAAAATTGGAGGCCCTGGACTATTTTTAACATTTTAAGCGTCAGCGGGGCAAACGAAAAATGAAAAATTAATTATTTTCCACTAATTATTCGTTTTTAGACATGTATAATTGATCTTCAATGCATGATAAATCTCACTCCAATAGCCCCCGACTTTTAAAACTCATAGTAGCCTCCCTTTAAAGATCGATTATATATGTAAAAATGAATAATTAGTGCAAAAAAATTAATTGTTCACTGTTCATTTGCCCCGCGGATACTCAAAATGTTAAAAATAGTCCAGGGCCTCCAATTTTTGAGCTACAGAGGTATTTTTTTCGAAATAAAAAAAAATGTGTGCAATAACAATTACGAATTAGTTTTTTCAAAATCCAACTCCTACAGCTCTAATTTGGTTTTTTTCATATACAATCGCACCATTCATGTAAAATAGTCCGAAAAAGTTTCTGAAAGAATCGAGAATATATTTGAAATATTTTAAGGGTAATTTTTCTGTCTATTTTACATGAATGGCGCAAATTTGTATATTACATGAAACGGAATTAGCTGCGTAGAAGTCGAATTTCAAAAAACTAATTCATAATTCTTATTGTACCCATTTTCTCAAAAATTTTGAAGAAAATCCTCTGTAGCTCAAAAATTGGAGGCTCTAGACTATTTTGAACATTTTAAACGTCTGCGGGACAAACGAACAATGAACAATTATTTTTTTACACGAATTATTCGTTTTTAGACATATATAATCGATATTCAAGGCATGGGAAATTTCACTGCAATAGCCCGCGACTTTTAAAACTCATAGTAGTCTCCCCGTAAAAACAATTAACTGTAATCGATTTAACAAAATTAAATATACTAAATTTCTTTCTTGTAACTATTTGGGCTCTCTTGAGATCTCTTTTGAAAATGATAATTCATTTATAAGGAGACTTTTGGAATTAATATAGAAATCGAGAGAGTCAATGGGCAAAAATATACTGAACCCAAAGGCTAAGGAAGTAAATTGGGGTATCCAGGCAAATAATGACTCTTCAAAATATAAAACCCCATATAATCCTTTGCCTGTACCAAAATTTAGTGTATATTGTATACTTCATTTCTGAACGATAGATTTTTGGGTTCGTGGCTCGAAATTATTATCAACATGAGAACAATCAGAACTCTACCAGTTGAGAAAAATCAGAAAATTTTCAAGTGCTTTTACAAAATTATAAGTAGTATAATTTCTTGAAATGTATCTAAATTTATCTCATTTCAAGTTGTCATATTACTTGCAAGAATTGTAATTATTATGAAATTTCATTATTAGTTGTTTGAAGAATAAAAAAAAATCATTCCTCACAGATCTTGACATGAAACCTAACGGTTAAGGTCAGCAACTGCGATTAGGTTAGGTTTTAGCGTTGTACTTATTGACTCTCCGATTTTCAGATGAACCATCATCCGATTGGTTATATTGTAATTTTCTTCCGTTCTCCATTTCATTATCTATGGATACATGTAATTTCGAGTTAATTTCATACTTACATGGTATAATAATATCACAAAGAACTCAATGTGCGAATTAGACTCATCGGCTAACGTCAAGGTACGGAATGGCGCGTTATTTCAGCATCATCAGCCCTCTATATTAACCGCTAAAATTCAAAGTTTGTCATATTGGCAACGGTTACTATTCATGAAATAAAATTCTGAAAATACATAATTGTATTTTTTCTTCAGCTTTCCAATGAAAATATTTTCAAATTTTTGGAAATGGAAAGAAGTACTAAAAATAAAAAGAATGGGAAATTGCTCTTGTATTGCGTACAGTATACTGTTGGAAAAAAATCTAAATTTCATGGACAGTTGACTATTAATTTTCAGGACGGTGACATTGAATGTGATTTAGGGAAAAATTGGCGAAAAATTGGGGTTACACAATTTTTTTAGAGAAATCATGACATTACTAAAAAAAATGACCACCACTCAAAGAATGGGGATATAGCCGGCTGAGCGCGAGTGATCGAAGATTCCGAGACATTTTCGGAAAACTAATTTTTTGGGAGGACTAAATTTGTTGTTCTCTCCGTTTTACCTCTAAATTCTTCAGAGCACCGAAATTAAAAATAGGTGTACGTCAGGAAATTTTCTGAAGGATGAAAAAAAAAGTATGGAGAACGACCCCAACTGACCGTTTGAAATTCTTTTTTTGAACTTTCTATGCCAAAACACATGGATACATAAACAACAATATTTTTTCGAAATGCTAGCAAAATTTTCAATAAAATCTATGGGTTCAATATTTTTTTGTTGTTCGCAGTGAAAAAAAAATGTTTTTAGAAGAAAAAAAAATTCAATCCTTAATATCTCCGCCAATTATTGAGTTGTAGAGTTCAGGTCGCGCTAATTTTTCGTTTTCTGGACTATACTTTTCGATACACATTTTTAAAAAACTTAAAATTTTGAGGCAATTTTTTATCTACAGCATTGGCGGATTCGCTCCTATAGATATTCCTATGGAAAGAAGTACTAAAAATTAAGCAAGTGGGAAATTACTCTTGTATTGCATATAGTACCGTGAGTGTCCCAATTGCCGCACTATTAAGAATATTCTACCAGACAATAGCGTTTAATTTGTGTTTTTTTTTTTGTAATTATGAATTCTGAAGGTTCATGAGTCATCTTTGATCATTTCTTGCCAAAAAGACATTCGATTTCAACTTTAATTCCGAAGAATTCGATAAATATTCATAAAAAACCATCATAGCTCTTATGGTCGAGTTCTCGGACGACTAAAACTGACTTAGCCGGGTTGCCGGATATCGTGTGCCCGATTCTCGGACACAGTGAAATAGAGGCAGAGAAATATAGGAAATCAGTTGTGAAAAGTATATTAAGTGTAATTTTATTACTATTTCAACAATGATAAACTGTGATTAACACAATAATAGACAAACAAAAACGTTGAGACAATAAAATATTTGAGTTTATGGTTCATTTAGAGGGATTTTTTCGGGAGGGCTGTGAGAATCGTTAGCGTCTCCACAACTATTATCTAAAAGTTCTTTTTTTTTCATCCCAGAGTCCTTCCTGAATTGACAGTCTTCAGAGATTTCCGCAAGTCCTCATTGGTATATTTGCGGGCTTTTTTTTCTGTATTTCCAGGCCTAGAAGATTCAAAAAAATGGATGAATTTGTTATATTCGTTATTTTTATTTTTATTCTCATAATTTTTTCATTATCTAATGCACGAGAGTTTCAGAAAATAATATATCTTTATGAAAGCAAAGAAACTGACAGAAAAAAAACATTGAGGTTAAGGGTTGGAAATCACATTTGCGGGAACTCCTCCAACCGCGAATTCAGTCGTCCGAGATGCCGGATTTAACATTTCCTCCATAAAAAACAATTATTTTTCTCTTTTTTTCATTTCAGCTTTTTCCAAATTTGTTGCTCAACTACTAGAAACCTATTAAAATCAATTTTTCACTTACATTTTGCTGTTTGATCCTTACGCAATATCGATGATTTTTAACGTTCGCGCACTTACACAACCACCAGCTCAGAGACCAGCCATAGGTACTCTTACGTAGATTAATTTCTAATAATTGTATGAAACTCGTGGAACATTCGTCAATAGTGTGATTTGAAGGGGAATAATTGGACAATCGCATGTAACAAAATGAAATGCACATGATGACTGTGAATATGTGATAAATGCTAAATTCCATCCTAAGAGCGCTCTGCGTCCGGGAAAGGGGTCCCGTGCGGCAACTGGGACACTCACGGTACTCTGTTGGAAAAACATGAAATTTCATAGACAGTTGACTACTAATTTTCAAGATAGTGACACTGAATGCATATTAGGGAGAAAAAATCATGAAATTTCAGGTTTCACTGAAAATTCAGTAAAAGTCTAGAATTTGAAGCAGCATAAAGCGGAGAATTCCTTAATTTATTTGAATTTCCAATCTAATATGAATATTCAGTGCCCAATTGCATTGAATTTTCAGTGAAATCTGAAATTTCATGATTTTTTTCCCTCTAAATCGCATTCAGTGTCGCTGTCCTAAAAATTCAAGAATATATTTACCGGAATTTTCTGGTTTTCTGTTCATTTTCAGGTAAAAATGGAATTGAAATTTACAGTTCTCTTTGATTGTTCCACGAAATTCTGAATTTTCAATTACAAAATTCCTTGAACTTGCAGTAGCAATTAAATTCGATAGAAATTTCCAAAAAGTGTACCGGAAATTTCAGACAAAATTTTTTAACAGTGTATAGTTATTTTTGCGAATAAATTACCAATATTCAACTTAATTGAATGTTATCATAATCATTATTCTTATTATCCCTTTCTTCTATTCAACCGATTGTCTTTTTTGCGGTTTTATCTCTCCCCTCAGCTCTTCCATAAAATGATAATAGAACAATTTGATTTATACATACTTAATTGAATTTGAAACATCATATTTGAAGAAACCAGTAGAAAACTCACTTTCAGAAAACTTCATGAAAAATTCGAAATTTTCAACAATCATCATAGAAATCAAATCAACCAATATAGCTATCGTAATCATCTTTCAACCTCGACGTAATGGCATTGAAAAAAACATTTTAAGCTATGATTGAATTAATTTCAAGCATAATATTCAACGATATCCGGAGTTCTGATTTTCAAAAAATACAAAATTTTTGCAAATTTTCAAATAAATCAAAATAACGATTATTGCTATCGCCTTCTTCTTCAAACTCGGTCAAACGGACATCCAATCAATTAATTCCGAACATTTTTTTAGATTAGTTTATGCTATATCATTTTATTTGATTTTTTTGCCTTTTTCGTCTTCAAAATTAGATTAAGTTAATTCGATTCATTCTTATTCTTGATATATATATTTGGCAACTGTAAAACTGCACTTTTTACTGCCCTACCGACGAATAACTCCATCAAATATCTTTTCAAATAATGAAAGAATATCCATGAATTCGATTTCTACCCATGTTTTTTAATAGAATGATAAATGTAATGAACGGCATTGAATAGCAAAAATCACCAATTGGAGACTGCAAATTTTTAAAGAGAGATAATTAGCTAGAAAATGAAAAAATTTGTTTTTCTTCATTTGTCTCGATGGAAACTTGGAATTATTGTTTTTTCTTCAAATATGGGAAGAATATGAACAGTTTCACGTTTTATGATCTCATTTTAGCGAGAGGAAATGAGAAAATACAAAGTAAAGTGGGGGGGGG